TAGTTATATCTCTTTGCTTCATAATATTGTTCCTTGTTCCGGGTTTGATGTGTACTTTTTTGTTCTGCTTAAGTACCTGGGTCAATGGCCTTCAAGCACATCCCCTGCTTTCTACAGTTCAGGCCCTGTGGTTCACCTGCACCTGCAGCACAAGAGGAGTGTTTGCAGGCCATCACCCTACATCCACTGGAGGGTCAGGCCCTGGCCATGGAGGACTGACACTCAGCATTGAAGTTAATCTCGTTCTTTCTCTTTTCTACACAAGAAAAGTGTTTTCTATCCATTGCCTGTATAAGCCAAATCGTTCTTGATGATACTGACACCTGCAAACCATGTGTTACCTTAACATCCTGGAACTGCTGCTCTGGTGGCAGACAACAGGTATCATTTGCTCAACGATAACTATAACGAAACTCCAGCTGAAAGAAAGGAATACCTGCTTCAAAAAGCACATGGTTAAAGGACTTGATCCAGTTTGGATATATGACCCAGACTGGGGAGGGTCACAGAAGTATTGATATAGTGACTGAGGTGGGGGGGGGAAAGAAGTATAAACAAGAGCTGATTAGGAAAAAGGAAAAAGAAAGGGGGTAAACACTACAGACAGGAAATAATGTGCAAAGATCCTGTGGCAGGAGTAAACATTTGGAAAACTGAAATAAGGCAGGGTTGCCCTCAGGGCATAAAGAGAGAAGCCTAGGGCTGATGGAGACTGGAAAGACAAAGGCCACACCTCACAGGGTCTTCTGGATCATTTTGAGGATTTGATTCTGTATCTACTGATAAATCGACAGCAAAGAGAGTATTTTGAAGAGGATTTTGACACATTGATATTTGTGTTTTAAAGAGATAAGGGGGGCCTGGCACGGTGGCTCATGCCTATAATCCCAGCACTTTGGGAGACCGAGGTGAGAGGATTGCCTGAGTCCACGGGTTCGAGACAAACCTGGGCAACTTGGCAAGACCTCATCTCTACAGTAAATCAAAAAATAAGCCAGGCGTGGTAGCATGCACCTGTAGTTCCAGTTACTTGAAAGGTTGAGGCAGAAGGATCACCTGAGTTCAGCAGGTCGTTGCTGTGGTGGCTGTGAGCATGCCACCCCACTCCAGCCTGGGTGACAGAGTGAGACTCCAACTCAAAAAAAATAAAGAGATGGAGGCTCAGCGCAGTGGCTCATGCCTATCATTCCAGCACCTTGGGAGGCCAAGGCGAGAGAAAATCAGCTTAGGAAACATAGCAAGATCTCATCTCTACAAAAAAATAAAAACAAATTAGCCAGGTGTAGTGGCACATGCCTATAATCCTAGCAAGTGGGAAGGTTGAGGCAGGAGGAACCCTTGAGCCCAGGAGTTGGAGGCTGCAGTGAGCGGGGAGCATGCCACTTCAATTCAGTCTGAGCAATAGAGTGAGACCCTGTCATAAACAGACAAACAAATGAGATGGGTCTGGTGGCAGTAGGAAAATGGAGCAGAAAGGAAGAAAATGAACACAGAGATTAGTGAAACTGTTGCCACCATCCAGGGGAGAGAGTATGGTGGCTTAGACCGGTGGTTATCACCAGCAAAGTTTTATACCTCAGAAGATACTTAACAATGTCTAGAGACATTTTTGATTGTCACCTGTGTGAAAGGAGATGTTACTGGCAACTAGCGGGTAAAGGTCAGGGATACCACTAAATAAACATCCTACAATGCACAGGGCAGCTCCCACAACGAAGGATTATCTGACCTGAAATATCAATAATGCCCAGGTTGAAAAATCCCAGCTCAGTCCATGATGGTACTGGAGACAGAGAGAAGTGCATAATGGAGAGACAGTTAAGGGATAAAAATCAGCAGTAATTAGTGACTGGTTTATTATGAGAAATGAGGGAAAGGTTATCAAAGATGACCCTCAAGTTTTCAGCTTGCTCATATGGGGTGGTGCCATTGTGAGATGAGAAATGCTTGAGGCATTTATGGTTTGGTGGAGAAAGATAAGAAGCTCTGCTTGAAACCTGGTAAATGGGAGATGTCTGTAAGACATTTAAAAGACGTCACACGCAGTTCTCTGGGTCTACAGCTCAAGAAGGGAAGCCTGAGTAGGAGCCATACATTTGAGAGCTTCTGTGAATAAAACAGAAGCCATGAGCATGGAGGAAGTTACCTAGGAAGAGAATACAGAGTAAGGAGTGGGAAAAAAGGCCCCAGGACTGAGTCTTGAGAAATTTTGGAGAAGAGAGCATGAACTAGCAAAAAATGTCTAATGGGGGGGACACATCACATATCAGAGGTTTCAAGAGGGCCAGTTTTCTGACATCTTCCTCAACATGAGCACTACTGGCCTTTTTAAACTTTGCTAAGCTCAGCAGTTTAAAAATATATATATTGTTTAAAGATATCAAAATTTTAGTTGACAATTTTTGGTAAGTAATGAGATTGAGCATTTTTGCCATATCAGTCAGTCATATTTCTTTTGTAAATTGGCCACATGTCAAATGCCCATTTAAAAATTTTATATATTCATATTTTCCTGTAGAGTTGTAGGATCTTATTACACATTAAAGTTTTTAATTCTTTGCTATCTCATTTTAGACATTTCCCCACAGTTTATCTTTTTTTATGTCTTTCTATGCAGTAGTGTTTATTTTTGTGAATTCAATTTTGTTGACTTTATCTTTCTGCTTTGATCTCATACTAGAAGAGATTATTCCTTCCTTTTTCACAAATTGTAAAAATGTTCTTCTTTATTTCCTTAGAACATTAAATTATTTTATACATTAAAAATTTTAAATAACCTAAAATATCTTTTTATGGGTGATGAGTGATTGGAATTTTTTTCCAGATGATGAGCCAGTAGTTTCCACACCAGTTGCTGAATAATATGTTCTTTCAACCTCCTCTTTATCTAATACTAAATCTCATATCCATTAGTCTGATATTAGACTATCTCTTTTGTCCTTTAGATTTCTCAATATATTCCTGTGCCAAGACAAGCTGTTTTAATTACTGTAGCTTTATAATATGCTTTAACATCTGGTAAGACAAATCTTACCAGATCCTATTATTTTATAATCAGGAGAATCCATAAAGATTTGTGCGTGTTCTTATGTGTGGGGGGTTGATGAGGAAGTATGTATACATCTGTGTGTGTTCTTACATGTGCCTTTGAATGACCAGGTCTAGTTTGAGAGCTGCAAGAAAGTTTGAAATAGTGCCTAGAGCAGAGAATTTGGAAAAATAAAAGAATTGGAGATTACAGGACTCTCAAAGAAGGTTGGAGTTCACACTTACAAGGTCTGTAGATTGAGGCAAACAGAGAGGAAAGCTGGCATGAAATGATCTCTGTTATTTTTAGACACTAGCACTAACTGCATTTCAAGGCCCATTAGGCCTGGAAACCTTTTCCCAGCCACTGGGATATCATGAGGGATGCTAAGGTCAGCCGTTCACCCCTTAGAGCTGCTCTTACTCATCTCAGGTCTGGATGCAGCATCAGCAACTGTTTGTGGGCTTACAGCCTCAGCTCTCAGTTCTATGCTTTATCTTTCATTGACCCACAACTTTCAAAGAAACAAGTCTTGTAATTCAGTAAGCATTAAATGAATGTCTGACACCTCCGTTGTAGACTCTGTCTCAGTCCCGCATCAAAGGTCTGTATCTATCCAACCCTAGATGAGTGCTTTGGCACACACACACACACACACACACACACACACACACACACCCACACCCCTAGCTTGGGGCCCACCTCTCCAGGCTCAGAGGTGGCTCCTCTCTTACGGACCTTTTATCTCATAAAAGATAAAGTCCCACCTGCACAGGGCAGAAAACTGATGGATCTCTAGGAGAGAGCAGGCAGGCCCAGGACATAGAAGGGGCCTCAGCTCTTCCATACATTCAGGAATCACAAGGAGGATGGCCCAACGGAGCCTGCTTAGGCTTGCTGGGATCATTCCAAGGACCCCACTCAGAGGGTCCAGAAGACTGAATGCTACTGCATTAGCAGCAGACTTCTGGTCGGACACAATGCTCAAGCCTGTACTCTCAGCACTTTGGGAAGCCAGGGTGAGAGGATTGCTTGAGCCCAAGAGTTCGAGACCAGCCTGGGAAACATAACAAGACATCATCTCTATAAAAGAAAAAAATCAAAAAATTAGCTGGGCATAGTGGCATGCACCTGTAGTCCCAGCTACTTGGGAGGCTGAGGGGGAAGGATCGCCTGAGTCCAGGAGGTCAACGCTGTGGTGACCCATGATTGTGCTACTTCACTTTAGATCCTGACTCAAAATAATAATAATAATAAATAATAATAAAACTGGGTAGGGGAGAGCATTATTCAGTAACCAGCGAAAATATTCCTGGGCATGGTCAAGGCAGGTCTGCTAAATATGAGGGGGATGTCTCCACGTGATCTTGTGCTCCAGGCCCAGGTGACCTAGGGAACAGCCTGTCTACCAGCCTCACCCCCAACATTAGAGGTGTTTGACTCTACCGTGGAGATGGGGCTCAAGGACCACCCACAGGGCGTGGGGGGACCACACGGGGTCATGCACACCCACAGAGTGCCCAGTCCCTCTGCCTGGTCCTGGCCCCATTTTCCCTTCACCTAGGTCGAGGTGACTGGAGGAAACTAGAAAAGAGATCAAAAGGTTCTTGGCCTTGACACAGATGGAGGAGGGAGACAGGTAAAGACACCTCTCTTCCCCCGTCGCCCACGTAGGCTTCTGAGGGATTCCTGAGTAAGGCCTCAATTCTCTCCTCTCCTACTTCAGGTCGAGGTGAGGGCGGAGGGAATTATAAGAGAAAAGGTGAAATGATATTTGGCTTGGATCTGGGCCTTGGGGCGGGCAGGGGCAGTCTTTGGGCACGAGGCGCTCGCCCCCTCCCTTCCCTTCCACCGAGGGCTGGAGGTGAAGGTGGGAGGAACCAGAGAGAGAAGGTGAAGAAGAAGTACTTGGCTTGACACCGACGAGGGGGAGGCCCCGGGAGGAGACTGCACCGCCCTCGCCTCGCCCAGCACCGCCTCCTGGCGCCGCAGCTGACTTGTGCGCGCTGGCCGCGGGCCGCCTCTGCGGCAGCGGTAGTCGCCTCCTCCGAATCCGCCGCGCACAGGTAAGGACAGAGGACCCCGCGCCGGAGCCGCGGAGAAAGGAGCTGCGGGGCTGCGTGGGGCCAAGAGCTGCGAGGGAAGGAAACGAAATCGGATTTCCCCAGAGGGGCACAGGGAGGGACCCAAGCACACGAGCCCCAAATCCTGGGCTGCGGGGAGGTGGCCCCTGCCGTGCCCACGAGGGGTGGGCGCGTCTTTACCCCGCGCCTCCGCGGATCAGGAGATGCGTTGGGCACTTAGATGCCTGCGGCTGTTCGGAGACGCAGTCCGGAGCCGGGCCCCCAAGATCCTGGAGGGCGCTGGATCCCAGGAGTCCCACACCCCTTTGCAATTGTTTCAAGCCAGCAACTGAAGACACCCCTCCCGATCTTTAAAGGGCGACTCCAGGTTCACGGGCCACGAACACACACAGAAACCTTCCTTGCTGGTGTGCTTTGAAGAAAAGCCCTGCCTCGGCCCCGCGAAGGTTAATAATAGGAAGATTTGTTCTGCCTTGGGTGTGTGTACAGGTGGAACAATCTGCAGGAAAAAAAAAGATAAGACTTTTTTAGGAAAAATTTTTTTCAGCCTAAAATTTCAGCAGACCATTCTTCTGTCTTTCCTTGCATTGGGGGAGATGACATGAGAATCTGAGCTCTTGCTTTGAGTCTCTGAAGTTCTGGGTTTGTCTCACTTTTCCTGGGATGAGATATTGCTTTGGAGGAAGTGAAGTGGGTCTGTATTTTAACCTGTTTGCAAGTTCTTTAAGCTTCTGAAGTCAGGGGCTGTGGACATATTGTCACTCTGTATTCTCTCACCTGCAGCTGGGGAGAAAGATGTTCACCGTGCTGACCCGCCAACCATGTGAGCAAGCAGGTTAGTACCTTTCAGCAGGCAGCAAGCGTGGTTTTGTAAAATCACAAGAGTATCCCAGTTTCTTTCAGCCCACCGTTTTTCATCCACGTCCCTCCCAAGTGACTGTTTAACCTCATTGGTTTGAGACTCAGTTCTCACCGGAGTTTCACCACCGGCATTCCTCAGATAAAAGTAATGCTTTTCATCAAAGCCACACAAAACAAGGACTAACACGCATGTTTCGCTTAGATGGTTTTTCCGGTTTGTATAATCCATTAATTTGGCCCTTGTGGTTTCCCTTACCTAGCTATGTATAAGGTTTGCTTTAGAATACCATGCTGTTGATTTTGTGATGAATTATGAACTACTCGGATCTTTCCTGTTTTTTCATCCAAATGCTACTGGCGCAGGCCTATGATACCCCCACCCCTACAATGGTTCAGTGTTGTTGTGGTTGATACTGCAGGCACAAGTGTGGGATTTTCTCTCTCTCTCTCTCTCTCTCTCTCTCTCTCTCTCTCTCTCTCTTCTCTCTCTCTCTCTCTCTTTATTTTAAAGATGTGGGGTACGATTCAGGATTAGGTATACAAAAGTTCATTATGCAGGCACCCTTAATGATGAGATGTGCCCCCCCTTCCCTGGCAGTTTCCCACTACTGCCAATACCTTTCTTATTGTATTATGATCATTGTTCAAGGTCCACTTGT